CAGAGCAGAAAGGAGAAAGACTGCCTCCCAAACCCACGTGCATCAGCAAAAGGGGGGATGGGTGGGGAAGAACTTTCTACATCAGAAAACATGGTGATTGGTTATTAACACGGCGTGATGAAAACCAATAGCAGCAGCAATCGTGTCTTAAATGCGGTCACTTCTCATTAGAAGCATAAAACCATCCATTTTGGGGGGGATATGGGGGTTAGAAGTCATTAGACTAATTCATGCCACCACCTGTACCCTCTCTGCCAGGCCAGTGTCACCACCCCAGGCCAGGGGCTCCCAGCGCCCATCACTGGCAACCTCAGACCATCCTCCTCCAGGACTTCTAAGGAGGCCGCCGGGCAGAAGCATGGGTGGTTCCTGCTGTCTCTCCTGGTCACTGGCACCATCAGCTTTGTCCTCCTGAGAGCCCTCGGTGTTTTCATCTGATCGCCTGGTCGTTTGCTTCTTCAGGGTCTGTACGTCCTGGTCCCTCAACATGTGACTTCCCGGGCCTCCCTCAGCCCTCCCCTGCCTTGCAGGTGCCCTCCCTCCTGGTGGCGCCCTGGGGACCTGGCCACCCCTGTTCGCTGTGACAGTCATTTCCCTACCCAGGGCCTGTTCAGATTTCTGCCCGCCTTTCACAACCAGATTCTTGCCTCTCCGGTCTCAGGGACAGCAGTGCCAATGACTGTCACCACCTACACCTGGGCGTGGCATTAGGACAAGAACAAATTACCTCGTGTCTCTGCTTTGACACTTTTCTCAGCCAGCCACCTTCTTCCGGTCATGTGTCTCGTTCCACGAGAGGAAGGACAGAGGATGCTGATTTCACTTCCTTAACCTAATTATACGGCCGAGTCTACACAGACTGAAAACAGTGATTGATTTTATTCTGTAGGAACATCAACATGTTTTTTTGTTGTTGCTGACATTGGAATAAATGGCTCTTGCTACGAGGTGGGCAGTGTGGTATCCAGGGAGGTATCCCAAAAGGGTAAAAATAACAAGGTTGAGCTCATGAACTTGCCTGAAGATCATGAGGATGAAATGTAACCAAACGAGACAGAAATAAATACTCCCAAGTTCCCCGAAAAGAACACCTCCTTGCCCTCCCACAAACAGACTCTCCCTTCCCAGCTTTCCTCTGGAAGGTGGGCCATCACAGAGGACCCTTAACAGCAAATATCACAAAGTCCCTTCCCAACAAAATACATCAAGACGTTCTCCCAAGCCTTCTTAGGCCAAATTCGCTTGTCACCATGAAATCAAATTTTTATGGAAACAAATAAATAATAGCATCTATTTTTTTTTGAAGTCACACAACAGACAGCCAAGAGTATCAAGAGAAAGACAACTTGACATTGTTTAATGCCACAGCCCAAGCCCAACAAATTCGATGATTTGTGTTTAGGAACGCCAGCATCTTGGATTCCCTAAGCCCCGAGTGAAGCCTTGTATACGACCGGCCTCTGTATTGTCCAGGGTTTGGCGTGACAATGTCGTCAGGCCCACGGGTGACTGGAGTCTGCTTTTCTCACCTCCCCAGGTGGAGGGCAAGCGACAGCGAGAGCAGACACAAAATGAATGAGGGCAGAAAAGAACCATTTGGTCTTAACTGAATGCCCTAGGATGTCTCAGAAGTAGACTGTGCCCGGTTCACGGCAGCAGACACCTCAGTGAAGGACAAAAGGTCATTTCCTTCCCCACACCATCCCCCACCAGCCACCCCCACTCTCTCTCGTGGCCGGGATGGCTTCCGTGGACTTTGTTTTTGAAAGTCAAGGAGTGTCTCAAACTCCAACGTCAATAAACATCACCTGGAGGCCTTGTTACCATGGACACTCGTGAGTCTCTCCCTGGCCCTACCAGTTAAAACTTCTGGGACTGGAGCCTGGGCGCCGCGCTTTTTAACGCACTCCCTAAGAAACGCGATTCACTCGGGGGGAGGGGGTGGTTAGGAACACTCATGCGGAACACTAGGTCAAAAGAGACACTGAAACCTGGGCGTGGGGAGGTGAGCCCAGGCTTCTGAGGAAAGGACCTGACCCTGCCAGGATCCCGCGCCCGGCAGCCAGCGCATCCCGGTCTCACTGCGGGCGGAGACCAGCGCTGGGCTGTAGGCAGAGCCGCGACGCGGTGGTGCAGTAAGCTGGGCATTAAACCCGACCTCCTCCCAACAGACTTGTCTCAAACTCATGGGCCAGCCTCTCCGAGAAGGACTCTCCTTCCCCCCCCCCACCCACCCCCAGTCCTTGCCCACCAGGGGGTCCTGGTTCTCCCTGCTCCTTACCACGTGTGTGCGCAGACTTCTCACTCAGCACCGACCACGTGGCCCAGACGGGGTCCACCGACGCGTGTTGTTTTTCTGGCCTCCGCTCCACCGGCGAGGAAGTGACGTATGCGGGGTGCCAGCACGCAGGAGGTGTCCCACGAATGTTTAGCAACCAGAACGTTGTGTTCCATCGGCGACCATCTCGCCTGATGGTCCCGATTTTTCACACGGAAAGTTCTAGGCCTCTCCTTGCTCACCTAGAACGCTTCACTTCTGGCCGAGAAACTGGCGCCCGCTTCTAAACCCCGCGTTTCCCATTCGGTTTTGTAGGGGCCGCACTGCAGCCTCAGATGCCCGAGGTGTTGAGTATATTGGCACAAAGTTCAGCCGTTCACACTTTTTGTTTCCGAAAGAACTAAAGCGCTCACAGCCCTTGCAGCTGGAGCCTCTCGAAGGAATTGAAGGCACAAGAAAATGTACCAACAGGTGATTATAACATCAAAACGCGCCGTGTCCAGAGTCTTTGAAATGCTAAAAGCGAAACACCTGACTTCCCGCTAGCCCGCCCCGCCCCCCCCCCACTCCCCCAGCAGACGCACCTGTTTCGGTCTGGCCAGCGCCGCCCACTCAAGGGCCGATGGAACGAGAGGCAACTTGAAATTATTTTATAAAGAAGGCAAGAAACATTCCATGAAGGAGCAATCAAAAAAAATCACCCCTGTGAGGTCTCCCTCACGAGACACCCTTCATTCTCGAAGAACTAAACTGTGATGTCAGCTGGGTGGGCACATGAGGACGAAACCTATGCCGCCTTGGGGTTTACCTGTGCCCACCTGCGCGTGCACAGTTGGGCCCCTCTCAGGCATTCGTACCGCCAAGGTAGGCTGGCGGCCCCGCGCTTACCTTGCAGCATGGGCGCCCTCAGCTTGGTCTTCATCACGCGAGGTCAGCTACCTGCGCCCAAGAGTCTTGGAGGCTCATTGATGTTGAGTCTCGGAGACGCTGGAGACAGACCACCCAACGAGTGGGGCGCCCCTGCTAAGTGGCTCCAAAAGTCGCCTTCCGCAGTTCACGGGGAAGGATTCTCTGTGTCCGAGCCCCAAGCTACGACCCAGTCCCTCCCGGGGTGTTGGGGGTTCCGGTCCAGGCCGGTCCCTAGCCGTGGGAGGGCGAGCCTCGCAGACCCCAGCAGACAGCTCTGGGCGGCCTGCGCCCCTGCCCCCACGTGGAGCTCTAAATCCACGAGGGAAGGGGAGACAGAGGAAGGGTGGCCCACAGGAGCCCGGCACCTGGGCTCCCGGCTGCGCAGCGGGGGCGGGCCCTGCCCGGGACTGAACCACCCCCGCCCCCAGCGGACCCTCCCAGCCCTGCAGCTGCCCCACGAGCCACGATCCCAAGTCCGCCTCTCCAAGCAGCGGGCTGAGGGGCGCAGGCTCGGGCTCCCCCCGCGCCCGTGCGGGCTCCGCACACCTGTCCGCCCCGGGAGGCCTCATTAGGCCGCGCCCGTGCAGCCCGCCGGTCTTGCCTTGGAGTCCAGGCCATGGAGCCCACCCAGAAGCCCTGCCAGGAGCCGCGGGGTGAGCTCGGGGCGCGGGGGCGGGCTGGGGCGCACCGGACACACCGCCTGCCCCGGGAGCGGCTAGGGCTTGGGTAGGCCCAGGGGCTGGGCCAGGGGGCGGGGGAGGCCTCTGCGCGTCGCACCCACCTCCATCGGTCCCCGTCTGGGCTGGAGTCCCAGGGCTCTTCCAGTCTAGGTTCTGCGATAACGTCGCATTTACTGAGCACCTACTGTGTGCCACGTTTGCTGGGCTACCAGCTCTCCTAAAGCGCTGTAGAACCAGTCTGCTCCACCTTGCCCCCTTGCCTCCGGAGAGGCCTGTGCCCCCTCCGCCGGCCTCAGGTCCCGTTTGCACCCCAGGAAACGACCTGACCTGAGCCGGAGATGGGCCATCTTACCGCACCCGCTGGGAGGAAGTCATTCCTGTTACATCTCATGCGATTTCATTAAAATAACAATCGTACCATTTATTTGGAAATGATGAAGCAGCCCCTTGAGCTACGGATTTGGGGGTTCTGAGTAAGGGGGGAGGTGGCCAGAACGTGGTAAGCACCTGATGAACCAGTCCTAGCTCACAGACAGACAGACAGACAAGCTGGGAAGGTGAGAGGGGCTTCCAGTGTCCGCTGGCTCACCCTCCCTTCCTTGTGTGAGGGGTGGTCTGGGCCGGAGGCCCCTGGCCCAGGTTCTGCTTCCCAGGGAAGGAGAAGGCACTGCCTGTGGCCATGGGGGGGGGGGGGGGCTGGCAAGGGCACAGTGAGTTAGGTGGGAGGGGCGGGGAGGGGGTCGCTCCTGTGCGGTCCTGTGAGGTCCTGGGCGGCCCCTGCCTGGGCTCCTGGAAGCCATCCACCCACTCCTGGGCCCTACCCTAGGCCATGACGTCTGAATCTGTGGCAGAAACAAAATCCCCTCTTAGAAGCAGAATCTCCACCTCTCTCTTCGCAGCCTACCCCACCCCCAGCACATGTCCCTTAGAGACGCCCGAACGGATGCCTGTCCAAACTCACAGTCCAGGGTTTTGGGCAAATAGCAGGGAACTCACAGGATGTTACACCGCCCCGCCCCCCCCATGAGGATCGCCCTTCTACCATGCATGTGTATGAGACAAAGCCCCCGGAGAGGTGCACAGGTTTGCTAGCATTGTCCAAAACAGCGGGGTTGGCGGACGGGATCCTCACGATGGCAAGCCCGGAGGGTGCGCCTGGAGTTGTTCCCCATTCTGTGCGTGGACAGCTCAAAGCTTACGTGGGAAGCAGCAAACCCCCTTTGTCCGGACTCTTCCGTCTCCTCGGTGCTAAGGTCCGTGGGTGCTGGCTCCCCACAGGCCCGGAAGGCGGAGGCAAGCCCCTGGCTGCTGGGCCGGAGCAGGAAAGCCCGCTGCTGCCGCCGTTGCCCAGCTCAGCGCCCCCCACTCAGGGCGTCCCAAGTGGGGAGCCCCCCGCCTCCTGCGCTGTCTCCGGGGAGAAGCCGTCCTCGGGGGCCCCTGGAGCGATGAGCGGGGCCGATGCTGCTGGGGGGTCCGAGGCTGCCCACAGACAGAGGGCGCAACCTCAGGGAGAAGGGTGCCCCCTCCCTCGGAGAGAGGCCAAGGCCGGGAAGAGGCCCCCCTCTCCGGGCTCCGGGAAGCAGAAGTCGTCTACTACGGCCGGCGGTCCAGCCTCGCCGTCACCTCCCTCGGCCCAGCCCGCACACAACCCGGTGCCCTGTGGCTCAGGCCGGGGGTCCTGCCACCTGGCCAACCTCCTCAGCACACTGGCCCAGAACAGCCAGAACACGGACCCGAAGAGGCCCCCAGAAGTGACCTGCCAAGCTCGGAAAAAGACTCGAACCCTGTACCGCTCAGGTGAGTCCTGGAAGGTGAGAGGGAGCCTGCGATCCGGTGCACCCTCCGGGAAAGGTGTGTTCAACAGGGAGTGCGGCCCCCAGACACTGTGCGCCACCTTGCCCCGACCCCCTCTTGACCTGGGGCAGGGCCACGGCCTGTCCCTGGGGAAGGCTGGCCTGTCTCATCACAAAGTGCAACTGGAACCAGGTTAGAATGGTCAGGAAACACCAGCCGGATCCCACCCACAAAGCCCAAGAGAGAGAAGGCCCCCACCGGGTGGGAAACTCAGTTGCAAGGCCCTGGGACGGCCCCTGGGCTGGGGACCGTGGTCTGGTCTGGAAGGCCTCTGTCTTTCTCCTCTCCTGCCGCCTCCCTGGTGTCTGTCTTCATGTGAGCTCCTCCTTCTTCCAGACCAGCTGGAGGAGCTGGAAAGGCTATTCCAAGCAGACCACTACCCGGACAGTGATAAGCGCCGGGAGATTGCCCAGACAGTGGGGGTCACCCCCCAGCGCATCATGGTAAGAGGGGCTGGCCAGTGGTGAAGGGGGGGTGAGGGGAGTGCTGGTGAAGGGGCATCCGCCACCCGGACCTCGGAAGAGCAGGACGTGTGCTCAGCACCTCCTGACTCGGGGTGAAGTGAGACCTCATTAGGGCTGCGTTCTCGCCAGTTTCCGCGTGGCTACAGCCTCAGGACGCTAGGAGAGGACAGCACGTCCGAGGCTGCCTCCAGGAACCTTTCCTAAAACCAGGCCGTGAGAGGCAGGCGTCTGCCTGCAGCAGAGCGGTGGGTGCAGCTCACCAGGGGACTGGCAGGACCCCTGCCTCAGCCGCTGCCCGCCTTCTCAAGCCCTTCAGTGTCTCTCCCCACAGGTGTGGTTCCAGAACCGCAGAGCCAAGTGGCGGAAAGTGGAGAAACTGAACGGGAAGGAGGGCAAGGGCAGTGCGGCAGCCCCCGCCCCCGGCCCCGCCCCCGGCCCTGCCGGCAGTCAGTGCAGGTGAGAGCCGCTCCTCCTCCTGGGCCACCCACCCCCGAGGGGGGAAAAGGGGTCCAAGCAGGGATCCCGGGGTCGAGAAGGCCGGGCATGAGGCCGGGGCTGCTGGGTAATAATATTTAGAGGGTGGGGTGGGCTGTGTGGACTGGGGACCATGCCAGTGCCTCACGGGGAGGCAGAGCTTGGGGTGCTGGTGCCCCTTCCCTGCCCCGAGGTCCCCGACGACACCAGGGACCACTCACACCACGACCTCCATCCCGCCTGCCCCCAGCGCCGGCGCTGACCTGCCACCTGCTGCGCCCATGGACCCGCAGCTGGGCGCCTTCCCTCAGGAGCCCCCTCTGGACACTCTCCCAGGTGAGACCACCTCCCAAGGGGCGCGGGGGTGAACGAGTGCCTGCCTGTTAGGAAGACAGTGAAGACAGAGGGTGTGGGCCGCAGCTCCCCGCTGTTGTAGGCCAGCGGGCCTGTGCAGGGGGCCTGGGCATCGCCCACGCCCACCACCCAGCGGCCCCACACCCGCCTCCCCCATTTCCTCACCGACACAGCCCCTCCGCCCTCTGTTCCTAGATCCCCCCATGCTGCTGACATCCGACCACACTCTGGCCCCAGCCCCCCAGACCGAGGGTGCTCAGGGGGTGACAGTCACCCCACCCCTCTTCAGCCCCCCACCCGTCCGGAGAGCCAGCCTTCCCTTCCCCTTCGGCCCCGTGCACACCCCCCAGCTGACGCCCCTGCTGATGGATGCTCTTGGCAGTGACAGCAGCCACAAGGATGGCTTCTGCGGGTCCTGGGGGACAAGGTAAGGAGCCTAATGGGGACCATCTCTTGAGCAATCTTGGGGAGGGGTTAGGAGCAAAGATGGGAGCTTGGGAAGGGCCAGGGGTTCGCTGAGGGCCGCAAGGAGGAGGACCCCTTTAGAGAAAGAAGCTGGGAGCAGGAAGGGGGAGAGGAGGAGGTGGCAACTCTGGGGTCATGGAGGTGGGGGAAGGCACTTGCCTACTGTGTGGTCCCCCCCTCACAGAACGCTCCCCTGCCCCCACAGTGTCACACCGCCCCCCACCTGCTCATTCCTGGAAGAGCTGGAGCCCCAGGACTACCATCAGGGGCTGTCCCAGGTCTCTCAGGCGCCGCAGCCCCAGCTCTTCCAGACCCCGCAGCCCCAGCTGCCGTACCTGCACCCCTTCGCCGTCCCCTCGCCCAGCTCGCTGACGCCGCCGCTGCTGGAGGACCCTTTCTTCCCACTGCCCTACGGGCCCGGTGCGGGTGCCTCGCAGAGCTACTTCCCAGCACCCCCAGGAGGGCAGGTCCTGCTGCAGCCACCTGCCGGGAACCTGGGTGAGTTGGGGCTGGAAGAGAAGGTGCCCTTGGTGACTGAGGAAGGTGAGAAGGGACAGAGAGCCAGCCTCACTAGAAGAGGGCCAGCCGTGGCCCTTTGGAGCAGGGTGAGGGTCAGCAAGAGAGCTGCGGAGGTGGGAAAACTCAAGTTTGCAGGCCAGCTGGGCAGTTTCCAACTATCCCGAGCCGCAGTGTCCAGGACTCTGGAATGGGACCACGGTCCCCACACCATCGAGGCACTTGGGGAAGATTAGGAACAGCAGGAGTGGTGGGGCTGGCAGGGTAGATGGTGGCTGACGGGAGGGTTCTGAGGCGCCACATCTTATGACAGCTAACTTCTGGCAAAAGGGGTGGGAAGGCTCGTCCAGTTGGTCCCTGGTCTCCTTGCTGCCTGCGTGGGAGGGCCCATGACCTGAGCCATGGTCCGTGACCTGAGCCATGGTCCTCTCTGTGTCCCTGTTACCAGACCCCAGGACCTCAAATGAGGGGACACACCTGGTCCAGAGGACAGCTCTGGTGCCAGCATGTCACCTAGACTCTCCTGGGTCCTGCCCTGTGTTTCTGGGGGGCGGGCTCTGTCACAGACTGTTCTGAACTGTGGCTGACGCCCGAAGTCTGCTCTGATCTTTCCTGTGTCCTCTGACCCTGCAGGTACAGTCCCCTGGAGCGACCCTTGCTTGCCAGAACTGCCCTTCCCTGGTCCCTTCTGGCCACAAACCCTGGGGCAGCCCCCAGGAGGGGACGGGTACTTTCCCGACGTGTTCCTGGCTCCCTGTGCTCAGGCTGCGACCCCACAGCCCTCTCCGGGGCCCAGCCAGCTGCCTGCGGGAGCCAGACCTGGAGCTGGGCCCTCCCTCAATAGGGGCCAGGAGGAGCTTCCCCAGCCTGCCACTGCCGTGGAGCAGCACCCGGCCCCAGAGGAGGGCCAAGAGGAGGACAAGGGCAGCCAGGGCCCCTAGTCCTGGGACCACGCCGGAGGGAGGCTGCTCCGAGAGAGAGGGTTGGGGCGCCCCCCGACCCCGCGGGGAGACAGCAGGTGACACCTCAGGAAAGATTGGACTGTGCCTGTGGCCTTCGGTAGAAGTCGGCCACTCCCCCTCTGTGGTGTGGGCTAAGCGAGAAGCTGGCCCTCCCTTTCTCCATGCCCCGTGTGGTGGGTGGTCCTGAAGCAAGTGGGGGCCCTGTATCGGTTCCGAAGGCTGTGCCGCTTATGTTGTTTGTTTCCGTGCTGGACGAATGAGCTGGAGTGTTCCCTGCGAGCAGTAAACTGGTCTGCTGTCGAGCTTCTCTGTGATGATGCACCCACCCACTCACACTGAGGAGGGGCCCCACTTCTCTCTCCGCTGTCCACGCAGCCCGCCAGGTGTCGGCGGCGGTCCTGGCGTCCCAGGTGGGGTCGCCACTGGGCGCAGCCTGCTGGAGCCTGGCGTCCTCCCTGACCCACCTCTCCAGCTGGAGGACACCCTGGGCATTTGGGGCCTTGTCTCCAGTCCCGCCGTCAAAGTATGTTCTGTTCCCCAGCCCGAACCGAACCTGGGTGAGGCTGGGCCCGGCCTCTCTCTCTGGAATGTGGGCCCTATCGGTACAGGATTCAAGAGAAGGCCGAGGGTATTTTAGGGTAAGTCTCCAGTGTCGTGAACCACGAGTTAGGTTCCCAAAGCTTTATTTTGGGGGGTGGCGTAGGAAGGAAGGGTAGTAGGCACACCCAGAAGACGACGTTCTCATATGCACCTAGTACCGCACATCCCATAGTCCCACAGAGCACTGTGCTCTGTCACTGTGCACTGACGGGGTGCCACCCTGCACCCCAATGGTTATGCGTATGGGAAAATACACATCCTCTCGATGGCATCGCCCTCTCACCGGCGGAACCTTACGGCTATGCCATAGGACCACAGCAGAAGCCTTCTTCCCTGATTGCAGAAAAAATGTATCCCCTCTGGTTTAAGCTTTCAGTACCATAATGTTTCCACTAGATGGCGATCTACTGCCAGTTTCACCACGTCCTTGAACTATTCTGGTGGTTGACAGCGATTTTTCAACCTTTTTCATCTCGGCGCAGCGCATGTAAACAAATTACTAAAATTCTGCAGCACACCAAAAAAAAAAAATGGTTTTTTCCTACTTGACAAAAATAGGTATAATTTTGATTCATTCATATCTGACAGCTTGTTGGTAGTTCTCATTTTTTGGCAATGTAAGGGAAAAGAGGTCAGTGCCCCTAACTAGTCAGGTACTGCATGTTTTAAAGATTCTTTGTGGCACACGGGTGGAAAATCTCTGGTTCACAGTAAGAAAGCCCATGCTAATTCTTCCAAGAGCTCTAGAGCCACTAACATCAGATTCAAAGATGTTGAAGTGATCTGGAGGGCAGTTTTTGAGTACACAGATTCTCTGACACCACCTCCGTGGCCTGTGCTTTTGCGCCTGTTCACTCCGGCAACCCTGGTTGTAGCGCTTTGCAGAGGACGCTACCTCCCGGCAGCTTCTCCACTCAGGCAGAGGCGGGCCAGAGCCGGCCTGTGCATCTGGGCTCAGCTCCCTGCAAGGAGGCTCCTGAGCAGCCCCGGGGTCCCAGTGTGACCCCGGGTCACAGAGGACCCCGCTCCCTCCTGCCATTGGAACCCTCCGTTAGGAGTCCATGCTTGTCTACAAAATGTTCTAAAACCTGTTGGATTCCTATTATATTTTCTGTTCCTGTGAGCTACATTTTTTTATTTTAGTTACTTATCTATTTCTGAGGGAACCCATTAGAATTTATTTTTAAATGTCGATTTTAACATCATTTGCACAAACGGAGCACAGGAACACAGGCTGCAAAGGAAAAGTTGGCTTTGGTCGGTCCCACTCCAAGTCTTGACTGGTCTTTGTGAATGGAGAGTAAGTCTGATCTCCTGGAAGTAAAACATCCTCATTCACCCAGACGTGGTGTTAATTTAGTCCGGAGGGATGGACTGGGAGATTTATGCTTTTCCCACTTGCGTTTCAGTTTACACTGTCCTTTCAAAAACAGCCTCTCATTTGAGTTGCAGTACCCAGTCCTCAGAAAAAGGACAGATGCTCATTTGGGCATCCAGGGGGGATCAGCAGGCACCTACAGTACCGGTGAACATAGGTAAATAAAACTCCCTCCAGCGTTCAGGAGCCGCACAAAAACCAGCTACCCTGCCTGCCTAGGGTCAGCCAGAGACCCAAGTGTGACGAAGTCCCCCAGGTGGGGCAGCGGTGCCTGCCGGGGCTGAGAAGGCATCAGAGGCCGAGGCAGTGCCCCTCCAGAGAGGGAGGCGAGAGTGTTCCAGCAGGAGGTTCAGTGAGCGCAAGGCCATGGAGACTGGACAGATGACTGAGGCGTGCGGAGTGGCTGGATCTGCAGAGAAGAGACCAGTGGGGGTGGGGAGGGGTCTGTGGGAGAAGATTAGAGAGGCGCTGGCAGGTTTAAAGAATGGGCGTGACTTGCTCAAATTTGTGTTTTAGAAAGACAAATGGGAAATGAGGTCAGAGGCTTAGAGAGAGGAAGCTGGGAAACGGGACTGCTGGCAAGCCTGAGAGATGGCGGAGAGAGAAGAGGGCAGCTGGGAGAATCCTCAAGAGTCAGAATCAGTCAGTAGGATGGAAAATCAGTAGAAAGGAACTGAAGAGACAGGGAAGAGAACAAACACCTCAGAAACTAAGAAATTGCATTAATCGAGAAAGGAAATACGGGGACGGAGCAAATCTGGGGAAGAGACCACTTTGTGTACGTCGAGGCTGAGGTTCTTGGGGTTCTATCTCTGTGGACACGTTCAGTGAGAAAAATACGGGAGGAGGGCCTCTGCGGCATAGAAAAGCCTTAGCTGAAGTCAAGAGACAGTCCCAAATCGTTCCGGCAGAGCATGTGACACGAAGAAGGGACTCGAGAAAACACCAGCTAAGGAAAGGAGACCGGGGCGGGGTAAAGGGGGCCCTGAGCCTGAGGAGGGAGGCCCCGCGTGCAGGAGGAAAGAGCCGGAAGGGCTGTTGGCTAGGAAAGGAGGCCCAACTGGGTCTGTAGGTCTGAGAAGGAGGGGGGACAGGTAATTGTGCAAATTAAATATAAATATCCCCATTTACAGAGGTGGACACGGAGCTTTAAATGAGTTCCTACGAACAGCTTAATCAGATCAAGACAAAAGTCTTGTGAGTTTATTTTCCATGTCGCCGAATGCCACTCAAGGACTCTTGATGCAAGCAAAATATAACCAAAGACACTGAAATAGGGGACAGGCTGACAGTGACCAGAGGGGAGAGGGGAGGGAATTTCAGGGGAGAATGGGAAGGGTTTACAGGAACAAATTTAAAGGACACATGGACAAAAGCTAGGGGGAGGCTGGTAATGGGAGGGAAGTGGGGAGGGTTGGGTGGGTGGGCTGGAATGGGAGTAAAGGGGAGAAAACTGTACTTGAACAATGATTAAAATAAATTTTTTTAAAAAAAGGACTCTTGCTGCCTGATTTCCGATAGATTCTTTAAGAAACTAGAAGAGCCTCCAATGGCTACTTTCGACAGTCAGTTCTGTGTGTCTGAAATAGTTCACCCAGACATTGGTCCTTGGATAAAACATTAATGATAATGGTAATCACTTATTTAGCATTTACTGTGCGTGTCGCTCTCGAATAGGTCATTTCACTTCACAACACCCCTACGAGGTATTACTCACATGAGTCAGAGAGGTTGCAGTGTTCGCCCAATGTTGCAAAAGGAACGGAGATTGGTCAGAAGTTGCCAGCTTCACGCAGCCGTGTACTGGGCTCGTTTCCGAGGGAGATGATAAGGGAGGTCAGAAGGTGGGTGTGTGTGCAGTAAAGCAACAGGTGTAATCTCGATTAGATTTAGAACCCCCTAGAGACCCCAGGCCTGTGTTTCAATAACAAACAGCACTGTTTTGTTTGCCTGAAATCGGGGCATTGTTGTGAGACCGGGAGGGAGAAGACAAGGGCGGCGCAGGGAGCGGAGTGTTCCTGAACTGGAAAGGGAATTGGCCTGTCTGCAAAGAGCAGGCCCAGGGGGAAGGGAGGGGGGCGGGGGAATGGGGGAAATGAGGCAGGTGGAGGGGCTGCGGGGCCAGATGGGGTCCAGCTGGGACCCGTCCTATTCAGGGGTGTCAAACTCATTTTCATGGGGGGCTACATCAGTCTTGCAGTTGCCTTCACAGGGCCGAATGTAATTACAGGACTGTATAAATGTAACTACTCTGTAACAGTTAAGCGAGAGGTCGGCGCCGCCACCACGTAGAAACAAGGTGCTGGGCGGATAAAACGAGGTGGAGGGCCGGGTTCCACCTGCGGGCCTTGTGTTTGCCACCTGTGGGCTATCAGGTAGCTGAGAGGGTGGAGACATTCAAATCTGAGATCGTGAGACGCCCTCCCCCAGAAAGACAGGTGAAAAGACTGGAGTAGGGAGGCCCTGGTGGGGCGGGCGGCCTCCAGTGCCCAGGAGTGAGGTGCTGGGACCAAAGTGGTGGAGGGGGAACAGAGGGGAGCCATCCTGGGAGCAATGAAGAAAGCAGCAGGACTCGAGGGTGAGGGTGAGGGTGGGGGGGAGAGAACGCCCAGCGGCGTCCCGGCTCCAGAGCCGGGGCATCTAGGACTGAGTTACAAAACGGGAGCCGGGGGTGTTGGCTACAACGCCACAGCTTCTGCACCTGCATTTGCAGCTCGCTTGGCTGCCTCAGGTACATCCTCCTGCCACGGCTTTATTATCTGGGAGTGGAATTTCCACGCACGGAGGACATTCCTCGGTCCTTTCTGGTGCACTTTCCTTTCATTGCTGCTTCCGTGGTCCCTTCCGCCCGGTCCTGGGCCCGGGTCCTGCGCAGCTGGTACACCCCCTGGGGCCTGCCCCTTCTGAACTCACAGTGCCTACGGGCCTTTCCTGACCCCAGGCACCCGCTTTGGCCCACCACTTTGTTGGTCTGACTTTTCTGTTACTTCCTATAACAAGTAATCATTGGAATCGGTGAAATCGAGCACATTTTCATACCCAGGGCGCTCAAAATTGCCCCCAGAACCTATTTAAAGGACTACTGTCAAAGTGTTTAAAAAACATTTAAACCTCCATTTTTCCTTGATTTTCATCTGGATAATTCCTCCGTCCTCTCTTCCCCCTTTTGCTTGCGACTGCCTGTGCTGCCCTAGTTGGAGGAGGGAGCCCAGGTTCTCTGTAGGCATTCATTCCGTCTGCTCAGCCCAGACCCCCTGCTCCTCTCCGCCCTGAAAGCTGAGCAGCCACCTCTTCACGCACACGCAGAGTCTCGAGACTCCCATTCTCTGAGGCCACACCACACGTTATCTTTTCTTCCCGTTGGTTGCCGGGAGAAGCTCAGTTCTATCACCAGAACCTGCTTATTGACAATTCCACAAGCCTCGCCACCTGTCCACGCTGCGTTGACCCGGTCTTCGCGGTTTATGGCAACTCACCTTCCACCTTCGGGATGAGCACACACTCAGCAGGTCACCCACCTAGGTCCTCGCGGTGAACGCCAGGCTGTTCTGGCCTGTAGCTTATAACCAACCGCCTGTGTGACGTCAGGCAAACCGTCTCCCGGCTCCAGGCTCCACTGTGACAAGTGAGGGTGTTTAGACACAAACATCTTTAGGGGTCTGTCGCCTCCAGTAGGGGGTCAATTTCTCATCCCCACGGCAAGCTGATCTCAACAAGAAAACACTCTAGAACTAGCTGGATATCCAGAACTAACTAGTCCCACCCAAGGGGCTAGCCTTCCTTTGCCTCCTGCATTTTCCTTTGCTTCCCGAGGCCGCCTGCTTCTGTGTCGGCAAATGTCTCTCTTGCTGGACTTGTGGACTCTACCACCATATCCCAGGGTCCTTCTCCCTCGGCCACCTTTTCTAGAAGCGTCTAAACTTTCTCCCTGGGGTTTGGGAACCCCTTGGTCGGTGGTCCGTCTCAGCACAAAAAACGGACCTGACTCCCACCCTGCTGGGTTTCCATCCACACTGTTCAGAGGGAATTGCTTCTCTGAAACACTCAGAGAACTGCCAGGCCAGGAAAACCTGTACCTGCGCAGTGGAGCTCCTGCAGGACTCTGTGGGCCAGACGGGCCCCTCCCAGCAGCAGGCTCTGCCCTGGGGCCCATGACTCACTCCCCAAGCAGCAGTGCTCAGTAGGCCCTCCCTGTGCCACCCCACCCACACGCCACCCCAGCTCCTCCCCACCCACGGCCTGCTCACCAGCCACCCGGAAAGAACGAACACCACGTCCACTCACCCTGTGTCTTCCTGGTGACTGGAGCCTCGGTCTTGCTGACCCTGCAGCCTCTGCAAACTGAATGGATGCTCTCTCTGCCTGCATCTGTTCCCGGGAAGAGGCCAAAGAAATTCGCCCCCCGTGACTACTGTGCTTCAAAACGGGTGGGCGGGAAGCAGTGGGGCAGCAGGTCCCAGAGGAATGTTCTCAGTACGTCTGAATCCCTGGCATCAGTTTCTCTTTAGCTCATTTCCCTGTAACCTTTGGCCCCTCTGCACACCTGACTTCAGAGTCAGAAGATTGAACAACAGGCAGCTCCTGAGTCATGTTTACAGCAACTGCGGCTCCCAAGTCACTGAACTGTGGTGGTGAGAGAGCGGCACCGCCACCGCCGAGGTATGTGCGCGGCTCCGGACGGAGAGCCAAGTACCAACACGCAGGAGGCTGCACCGCGTTCTTCGGCAGGTGGGGGAGGAGTCGCGTCCGCAAAGGGCCTGCTCAGCCAAAAGGGCTGGATTGCTAACTTGCTCTCATTAACGGGAAGAGATTATGATAAGGGCAGCGTCGCTGAACACACAAAGACACACCGATTGTTATGTGTGCAACATGGGATCGAGAAGGAAACCGGGTTTGTGCTGGGGAACACGTGTGTGTGTGTGTGTGTGTGTGCAAGAATGGGCCGGGGCAGGGCACCTCTGCGGATTTTCAGACCTTTTAAACAACTTCCATCGCAAAGGCCAATTAAAAAAAAAAAAAAACAAAATCAGTCATCATAGAACCAAAACCCATTTTATTTGTATCATGGATCTAGAATTTGTTTAAGAGACGGAAAACGCCATTAAGGGAGATAAACACATCTTAACCCGTGAGCCTGCCCGATCGTTACACGCAGGCTGATCGTCTCTAAATGACTGTAAATGACCACAACAGAGCAAGTCAGTCGTGCCCAATCAAACTCGTCAGCTCCCGGTTCACTCGAAGTGAAAAGTTGATGCTGGAAATAAACGCTAAGGAGCAGCTTTCTGGGAGGAGGGAGGAGGGAGGAGGGAGGAGGCGAAAGTGATGGGCACTCGGTCCGGTCCTGGGCCCAGAGGAGAGAACGCAGCAGACAGGCGTCTTTGTGTCTTTGTGTCTTCACACTCCCAGCCTGTCACGCTTCAGCAAGATGCCTGCGAGCAGTACTGCTGCGGTGTCTCCCGAAGACACTCCCCCTGTGCCTGGTTTTCTTTAAAAAAACCAACCGAACCCTGCGTGTTGGTCTCTGTCTCCCATGCAGCTCTGCCCGAAGAGTGCGGGTTAACAGTGGTTTCACGGTCTCTCACCAGAAACCGCTGTGTTTCTAGGAACAATGAGGCCAACCAGAATTCCAGGACACATTGAGTCAAACTCGGGACATCTGCAGAAGACAAGGAAAATGAGGGGACCGGGCCCCAGTCTTGGGAGACCCAAAGTATAGAAAATGTAGTCATTCGACTGAGGAGAGATTACTCGTGTCTAAGTTTTGTTAGTTTGTTTTTTTGTTTTCGTTTCTTGTTTTTAAAACCAAGGGCCTAATGACAGGTAGAAAGAGCCCATTGTCTTTTAACTGAGATTTGCCTGGAAAATATAAGGTTGGACATGGCCCAGTTTGAGTCACATGGCCAGTATTCAAATACCAGTTTAAACAAATAACTTGGACTATAATTACTGTTTCTGCTGTTAAGAAAAAACAGTTGTTACTTTACATATAATATACACATATTAATATAGCGTATATTAATAAGAAGCTGACTTTATGAAAATGGTGAAAAACTCCATTAGAACCTTCCTAAACCATCCCGTTTTAGACTGTTGAGCAGTGTCAACCTGTTTAGGGTAAATTAATATTAGTCCCACCTTAATGACGATGGTGGTAACCTTCCTAAAAATCAAGCGAGCTTACATTTGGGGATGGACCGAAAACGACATGGGCCATCACACGTAACACCGCCCTGTCATGCCATCGCTAACTGGGGACAGGACCACGTCTGCGGTATCGTTCTCACCTGTGTGTGAAGCTACAACGCAGTTTTACTTTTGAGCCCGCCTAAAGGTAAGGCACAGGTAAAGGTCCAGGAAAGGACTCGAATGGCCCAGCTTAAGCGACAGCTACACCACTGCTGTGTGAGGGCCCCATACGGGGAAAGAACATAGAGGGTGATGCTCTCCCACGGAGGAGGGCGATCTGACTGGACAGAGATAATCACACACAGTGGGGCCGGCCAGGCCTTGAGCCGTCCCTTGGTCCGATCTCGCATTTCTCAGTCAAGGGAAGGGAGAGATGGGCGGGCTGAGTCATGGTGGGCCGAAACTGGATGATGGGTCTCTTGCCTGCAGGATGCTAGGACTCTCTCCAGTACAGCGTGCTGCTTTTCACTGACAGACAGGATCAAACAGCTGGGCAGATACTGTCACATTAATTCAAGTCAAAATATAAAATTGGCCCTGGCTGGCGTGGCTCAGTGGATGGAGCGCAGGCCTGCAAACCAAAGGGTCCCTGGTTCGATTCCTAGTTAGAGCACATGCCTGGGTTGCAGGCCAGGTCCCAAGTTGGGGGCATGCAAGAGGCAACCACGCATTCATGTTTCTCTCCCTCTCTTTCTCTAAAAATAAATAAATAAAATCTTTAAAAACAATACATAAAATCATGAGTAGTCTTGAGTAGGATCTCCAAATCCACCCATACTAGCCTGTACCTTCAAGTTCAGTAAAAAAGAAAGTTCGAATAGGGTTTGCATTACTCATCAATTCCTCCTAACTTCTCACACAACCAACCTCTCAGGCCATACTAAGCAGAGACACTGCCTAAATTCTTGGGAGTCGTGAAGCGGGAGGTCACAGACACCATGACCTATGACAAGCGCATGACCTAGGTTCCACCTTGGTCTTTCCTGCCCTGAATCAAACAGCCGGGAAGCCTCACGGGACTCCGCGCTCTGAACCTGGTTCAGTGCTCAAGAGTCTGAGGAGCAAACACTCGGAGTAGTGCCAAGTTTATTAGCGTGAGAGAGTACCGCCCTCACATTGCCACCAGCAGAGCCCGCAGAGGCATGCGCTGACCTCGGAGCGACGATTACGGAAAATCAGTAGGGCTGGAAGGTACCTTAGGGGCCGCCGGGTGGGCCCTCCCACCCGACGTGTTAATCCCCCTTAAACATCGCCCTCCAGTGGGCCGAGGTCAGGTCCTGTTGGACGTGTGGCCACAAAGGACACTCTGGTCAGCTCTGAACCTGCTGCCTGGAGGCAGAGTGTCGGGCACTGTATGGTACAGGCAGTCGAATTCTTTGGCGTACGCCCATTGGTCCCTTTTCCTATGAGCAAAGGTTCCCAGGGTCCAGTGCAAAGCCCCTCAAGGTCCCCAACCGAGCACAAAGCACAAGCAAGGAGGTCCGGGAGCGGCAGCCGGTAGCTGGATTTCGTGCTTGGGCTCTCAGAGGGTCTAGTTCCCGGCCCACGGCAGGTGTCTGCTGCAGGGTGGTGGGGGCCAGCCCACTCCAAGGACACCTCGTCCCGAGGCTTGGAGGAGTCCTGCCCGAGGAGAGCTAGGTCTGCTGTTCCACCAGCTGTAGTTTGGCTGTCTTGACTCGGTGGGCTTCCTTCAGGTTCCGCGCGCGGACCTCCGGGTTGGAGATAAACTCCACCTGCTGCATGGGAAACCAGCCTCGCTCCCCGTCGGAGAGCCTCATGCCCTCCAGCCAGCCTGTGGGCACAGGGTGGCGGGAAGGGTTACCTGGGAAACGCTCACCGTCATGTCCCCCCCAACCCTCTTTCCAGAAGCATTTCTGCATCGTCAGGCGGAGGGGACTACAGAGCCCCAGAGCACGGGTCGCTCGGCCTCCCAGGTCACGCCCCTTGGCTGCCCCAGGTTGGGCAAAGTCTACAGCTGCCTGTTCCTTCGTGTTCTTTCTCCACTCTCGTGGGCTGAACTGTGTGAACTGTGTCCCCCCAGAAATACATGTTGAAGTCCCAGCCCCAAGCACCCCAGAGCAAGCCCTTATCTGGGAATAGGGCTGATGCAGATGTCAACAGTAAAGCTAAAATGAGGTCATGCTGAAGTCATGGAGCAAAGTGGGCCTTTAGTCCAACACACCTGGCACCCTTCCCTATAAAACGAGGGGAATCGGGGCACAAACACCCACAGACGGAAGACAGGGGTAGAGCCTGGAGTGAGGCTGCCCCAAGCCAAGCCACACCCGGAGCTACAGCAGCTGGGGGTGGCAAGGAAGGACCCTTCCTAGAGGCTCTTGAGGGAGCACGGCCCGGCCAATACTTTGATTTTGGACTTCGGGCCTCTGAAACCTCCGGAGAATACATGTCTAGTGTTTTATGCCACCCGGTGTGTGGTACTTTGCCCCAGCAGCTGTAGAAGAACACACCCACCCGCAGTGTCCCGCCCTCCAGCGCCAGCCTAGGCCCCCCGGGTTCTCCCTCTCACCATCGTTGCTCTGCTGGGTCACCATGACCACATCCGCCTTCTCCAGGGCCAGCTCGTCGTTCTCCCGGGGTTTGTAGGCTCGCAGGCACTGCACTTGCGGGGAGTCTTGGAAGACAAGAGCGGGAGGACGGGTTAGGGAAGGCACGGAGGAGGAATCAGAAGCAGGGGTAGGGGGGAGGCTGGGAGGATGTGGGGTCCGCCAAGGTCGAGCTTTTGAAAGTTACAGACCAAAGGGACCATTGGAAAAGTCTTCATTCTCTACCAGGGAACGAAACGGTTGACCAGGAAATAGAAACACCAGAATTGAAATGAATCAAAAATTCTATCTCTCCGGGGAAGATGAATTGAGAAATACGCTGTGAACACCTTCAGTGACTCATTATTACAAGTTCTCCCTACCCACTTCCCTCGGACACCTCCCCGGTGCTGCGGTCCTCCATGGGTTCCGAACCCCTTTGAAACTGATGGTCTGGGCCACGCCACGCACCCCGGATCTAACTGTTTCACGTCTGTGTTCTGGGTCTGCGACGGGATTGTAAAATCTGAGTCTGGGACTCAGTCTCCACTCCCTTCCAGGTCCTTGGTGCGGACCTAGGAGACACTTAACCAGCGGGGCTCCGGGTCTGATCCAAGGCGGCAGCCAGTCCCCTTCAGCTTCCGTTTCCTCGTCTGTCCGGGACTAGGCTGATCAAGAGGACTTTTCAAGTTTCTGGATTTCCTATATTTCTTTATTTTTGTGAATCAGGGGGAATTCCTATGGTTTTGGAGCTCAAGGTGAACCAGTCTCCGAGTACTCCTGGCCCCCGAGTGTTCCGTCTCCCGGGGGTTTATTGTTCCTTCCCTTCCCGCACCGCACTAGCCCCCTCGGAGAGCGAACAGGACACTGCGTGCGTACGTGCCACGCACAAGGTCACAGCGAAGGAGGAGAACTAACCGCCTGGCCTCCTGCCCCGAGCCCTACGGAGCTGGAGCCCAGCAGATGGCTCTCCCCATGAGCAAGTTGACAGAACTCAACTCGGTTTACAGCCTGCTACTCCCACTTCCTCTTCCAGACTTCCTTGTATTTGTTTGTTCTTTTGAGTCACCAAAGGTCCAGCCTTCCTGTGAGTTCAGTTCCTTTTGGATATGGAGCAGGAAATCCTTGCTGGAGGACAACCGTGGGGCGCACAGGAGACCCATAAAGCCAGTCCTAGCGGGAATGCAGACGCCTGCAGAACGCCTGCGTGTCTGCGGCTGCCTGTGAGTAACCTGGAAGCCCAGGGCAAGGGCACAGCCTCAGGCCCTTGTCACAGCAGGGGGAGTGCTCACAACAGAGGCACTGTCTCCCTGTCACAGCCCTACTCTCTCCCCCTACTTCCCTCAGGCCTTCAAGCAGGTGACATCCAGGCAAAAAAACAAACATACAAAACAAAACAATAGTAGGATAGACTTAAGGGGCCAAATATTTAAAAAGAGTAAAGTATTGCCCCAGGCAGGGATTCTATTGGGCTGGGGGGGGGGGCGGTAGATGAGGCACTGCTCTGGTGATGGGCAGTTTTAAGCAGCTGCATCCCAGGTGTTCAACCCCCTGTGGCCAGTCTTCCGCCCTGAAATTCTGGACAAAAGCAATTCACGGAGGCCTCCCGGAGTTGCCACCCAGCCCTAAACTCCTGCCTCCCGACAGAGGCTCTGGACGCTGCCGTTATCTCCTCCTCTGGACTTCCACTCACCACAACACTCCAGAAGGTCCAGCTCCTCTCCGGGCATGGCCAAGGCCGAGATCCATCGGAGCTTTTCACTTCTGAGGAAAGGAAACAGGGGTCCGCTTCAGTGGCAGCTCAGGGGGCGCAGGACAAGGGAGATGGCGGGGAATGAACGCGACTGTGGGAAAGACTTGTCTAGCTCACAAAGTTGTCTAGTTCCATGGTATCTAGGACAACAGTCAATGACCGGACAGAGTCTTAAACTTGAACTCTAATGTCTCGTCACCCTTTCTTTCCCTCTTCTCTTTCCAAGTTTGTCCTGTTAGTCGCATCTCATATTTTTCAAGTGGGGGCATAAAGTCAAGGTCAGTTGTAAACAGGTGGGTTTTCCATTTGGGGAACTGTCCCGAGCAAAACGTCCATCTCAGCTTAGATTCTCTCTGTCACCGCGTAATTCCCAGCATGCCTCTCTGCCCACCTCCCTTCTCTGAACGTCTCAGATAAAAGTCAGTCTGCAGCCCCAATTAGACCAGGGAGATAGACCTCCTTACTTTTCCTGTCGTGGGACATGATCCAAGCCTAACTTTGTAGTTTTCTAAAGGTCTTTGCATGACCTTGGCCTCAGCCTCCAAACACGCCAGAGTCCTTGAGAGCCGACCCTGTTGCTGTTCCAGGGACACTGCCCAAAGTGCCAACCAAAGTCCATGGGCCGATCTGATCACGTGACGGAGGGGAAGTCTGAGCACAGGCTCTCACCCCGGCCCCATAAGTGAAGACAAGCATTACTGACCCAGCCCTGAAATGTCTTCCAAGGGGCAAAACTGAAAAGTGTCGGAAACACGAGGATCCTCAGGCTATTATTAGGTGACATGTCAAATTTTTTAAAGAAAAGATTTCGTATATCTTTTATAACATCAATAATAGGTACAGCCCTGGTCAGTGTGGCTCAGTTGGCTGGAGCGACATCCCATGCACCAAAGGTTGCAGGTTTGATTCCTGGTCAGGGCACATGCCTAGGTTGCAGGCTCGGTCCTTGGTGGGGGTGCTTACAGGAGACAACTGATTGATGTTTCTCTCTCACATCAATGTTTCTCTCTCAAATCGATACAAAAACATATCTTCAGGTAAGGATTTAAAAATAATAACAATAGGTACAGTCTTGTAGTTGTTCAATGGCACTGTGCACAAGATTTTATAGGTATTATTTTTTAATATTCTCCAAAATGCATGTATGTGTAAGTGCATTTTTTTCAAGATTTTATTTATTTTTAGAGTGAGGGGAAGTAAGGGAGAAAGAGGGGGAGTGAAACATCAATGTGTGGTTGCCTCTCGTGTGCCCCCTACTGGGGACCTGGCCTGCAACCCATGCATGTGCCCTGACTAGGAATCAAACTAGCAACACTTTGGTTTGCAGGCCCGTGCTTAATCCAGTGAGCTACACCAGCCTGGGCACTCTAAGTGCGTTTTTGATTGTTATTTAAAAGATGAGCACATCAAAGTTCCCAGCGCTATGGGTTTCTGCTCAGCCCAGGACTGGGCTGGAAGGTGGGAGCGAGGAAGCCCACGGCACCCAGTGCTCGTCTTAGTCACAGACGTGGCCCCTGGCCCTGGACACTAAGCAATTTCTGGCTTTCACACATGCACGTTCACTCGCGGGTGTCAGTAATCTCGCTCTTTGGTGACTCCACATCGGCCCATCCACTTCCTGGTACCTCTCAGACTCTGTCCCTCCAGACTAAGGGGAGCACAGGAGACACCAAGCCTTGGCGGCGAGTGCACACCCTCGCCCACCGCAGTCTCCCAGGGTTGCCCGTTAGCTCTAGGAGTCTGGGCGTCTCTGCAGATGCTCCCGGTCCAGGGTGGACTACATGCCGCTGTGGCTGTTTCCTGGTGCCACTTCCTTGCCAGGCTGCTGTGCCCCTGCACCCCCTACCCCCCTGCCAGCTCCTCTGCCCGGCCCCGCTTAACTGAGTCTCCGTGCTGAAGAGGAACTCGGACTGGGTGCCCTGGGTGTTGTGCAGCAGGAAGAGTCGGAAGAGGTTCTTGTGAGGTCCGTGCAGCTTCATCTCACACTTCTCCCCCCGGACGGCGGAGAAGGGCGCGTGGTCAAACACCAGGAACCGGCTGCCCCTGCGGAACACCAGGCTTTTCAGCTGCGTCCTGCAGTTGTCGTACAGGGCCCTCCCTCACAGCTTTGGATCCCGAGCCCCTGGCCTTAGCATGGGCAGCCTGCAAATCCCCCCAGAAACCTACAGTGGTGCTAACGTGCTCTCCAGATGGGAGCTCCAGAAGCCCCAGGGGTCCGTCACTAGCTTGGCAAACCACGTATCTAGTCTCACAGACACTTCGGGCACTTTAAAGAGTTGCAGAGACAGAACCAATACAAACTTCCCAAGGCCCTTAGGACCACGGAGTTAGGCTCTGGAACCGGCTAAGCCTCTTCGACTGGTCGAGCTAACTAAACTGCAGACTGACCCATCAAGCATGCGACAGCTGACGTGCTATGCTTTGCTCTATGCCTGTAACATGGTACTGGTCTTGCTGTGTGACCTTGTGACATCTTGGGTGTGATTGCCTTTTCTTGTTCTGGATGTTCTTCCTTTCTCTGCTGTGACCTGGACTCTATGGGCCGGGCCATTGAGAGGGGTTCCCCTAGCAACACGACCCCTCCCGGTCCCTTTTCGTCCCCCCCTGTTGCCTCTCCCATTCCCCCCCCCCCCCCCCCTCCGTGCTCCAGCCTCCCGTTCTCATCACTGACTCTCGGGGCCGAGACAGCAGCAGACAGTCATTGAAGAGATGCAGGTGCACTGGCCGCGTGTTCAGTTTCCTTCGCAGCCCCGGGGAGATGCTGAACTCCAGGTCCGTCAGCTCGCCGCTCTTCACCAGCCAGCGTGACTGCGAAATGAGCGGGAAGATCTGCGGGGCGGGGGAGGACGGACAAGGCAGTGTCATGGGCATGCCGAGGCCGAGGCCGAGGCTTCCTCCCGGCCCTGCCCTCCCCACCCGGCCCCTTCCTCGTAAGCTCCGCGGACCAGCATCTCTCCCGCACCTCCCCTGTTTGCTCAGAGCCCATCCCCTTAGAGTCTGTTTCTCCGTGAACCGTCCAACTATGGCCGTCTACGGCCATCTACTGTGGCGCAGCTCCCCAGGCCACAGCTCGGGCAAGGGAAGGCGCCGCTGGCCCACCCCAGAGCGGTGACCACGTGAGAAAGCTCAGCCCCAGGAGCCTGAACTGAAGGAGACAGGAGAAGCCCAGTGAGGGCGCGTGATGAAAGGCAGCAGGGAGCAGCATGCGTGTGTCCTAGAAGTGAAGAGACGCGGGCAGTTCCGATGTCGCCTGGTCTTTCTTTGACCATAAACAGACGCAGAGGCGCCGCTGGAACCAGATGTGGGAATGGGATTAAGGAGAACGAGGGGGATCTGCTTGGAGCTGGAACCTGGGTGAGGATGAGGGCAGAAACGATGATCGAGGTGTGGACCAGAGCTGTTCCCTCTCACCAGGAGATAAGAACGGCGTCTGCTCTGAGCTGGAATTTAAGTGTGGCATGTGCATTGCAGCTTTGCATCGGCACGGGAGGCTCTGGCCTTGGCTTTGAACCCAGTTTTACACCACTTTCGTTACACTAGATGGAGACGATAAAATACTCACTGGTTGAAGCACCAGTATAGCTTTTACCAAGGCTCTCATCGATAAGTTCTCTCTCATCCGCCCAGCCCCCAAGTGCACACTCTGCCCCTCGGGTAACCCGTGCCCCTAAGGTAAGCCGTGCCCCTCATTTCTTGCGTATCCTTCCGCGTTTCTCCCCGTGCGCACAAGCAAGCACGGGAACAGACTTGCACCCTCCGCTTTTCCACCGCAGCTAGGACACGCGGTGCTGCATCGCCCCTTTCTCACTTAACAAGGAATCGCGGAGAATGGAGCAGGATAGAACAGCGGCGTGAAGACGTGAGGTTGAAGACAGGAGGGAACGGTGAGAGCGGGGGAGGGGAGGTCTCCGTGTTAGCAGGGGACCCGCAGTACGCTGAAGACGCACGCACCTTGCACTCGAACTCAATCCTCTGGCTCAGGTAGATGAGCTCCTCCGTGTGGCGCATCCTCTGGACGTTGCTGTTGCAGTCTCGGATCAGCTGCGCACAGAGCGGGGTAGGGAGAGAGGGGGAGCTGCGTTAGAGGCTCTGACCTCTGAGTGGCCTGCGAGAAACCTGGAAACCAGCAGTTGGGACCACCGCAGTCTTTTTCTCTCAGGCTGGAACTGCGTGAAGGCGCTCTCAAGTTCAAGTTCAAGGGCTCTGTATATTTGGTGCTACATGACCAGCACTCCCCGGCCGAGTGGAAGGAGGATGGAACCTGGAGCCTGTGGCAGGGAGAGCAGCACGCTCCAGGTGGGAGGGGAGGCCGTGGGGAGGGAAGGAGGGAGGTGTGGGGGGGCAGCGAGGGGCCTGGGCAGGGGGAGCCTTCTCTGCGAAGGGTGGCCGGGGGGCTGCCTACCTCCTCCAGGGCGTGGTGCGCCTTCGTGGCCTCTGCTTCCTCTGAGGAGCCCGGCTGCGTCCTCTTCAGAATGTTCTATGGGGCAAACAGTAGACAGCAGCCCGATGGGAGAAGGGTGGCAAACAGGAAGAGGTGGTGGGGGTGGGCTAACGGGTGGTCTAACGGGGGAAACAGGAGCAACATTTCCGTGGTAAGTTCACGCTGCGGGAGAAAGTGTGGGCGGTTGGTGGGGGTGGGGGGCTGCTCACACTGTCCTTGGGGTGGGGGACAGCACAGCGGCAGAAGAGAGGCCTGAAACCGGCCCTCTGAGCGGAGGGCAGAGGGCCCGGGCGGGGTCCGTACCTGCAGCAGCAGTTTGAGGCGGGTGATGCGCTGGAAAGGCAGGATCAGAAAGGACTTGAGGGACAGGCGCTGGCAGACGGGGTCGCTCTCCAGCTTCTCCAGGACCTCGCGGAAACTGCTGTTCGTGTTCCTGCACAGACGGGGAGCCTCAGGTAAGGAGGGGGCGAGGAACATGGGGGACACAGTGAAGGCACCCCACTGAATGTCTGTGGGTCAAGAAAGCATGCTGGGACCCCGTGTGCACAGGGCCCAGCTGGAATGGCTGAGGGCCTCCAGGCTGGAAGGCGGGTTGGAGCTGGAGACCACAGGGCGGGGCCAAGAACATGTGCTCTGACCACAGCACTCTGGGTCGGGGGGGCCGGAGGTCTGGGTGCAAGGTCACCGCCGGGCCCACATGGGGGCTGAACGGGGTTCAGGTCTCACAGCAGATTTTGGAAGGTGCGTTCCTGGTAGGTCTGGTTGGTGACATAAGGCAGGTAGACCCGGCGGAAGTGGGAGGCATGGTTCAGGACCACATCGCACACGTGGAAGGTGAAGAGGTCGCTCTCCAAGTTCTCCTCCAGGTCTGAAAGGAACCTGCGCGGTGTTCAAACAAGTCTCCTGAGACCGGCCGGCCCAAGGGAGCTGCTGGCTGGCCCCTGCTCTACCTTGACCTTGTGACACCTCTGTGTTAGCCAACAGCTTCTATCGACTGACCTTGGCCCTGCGCCCGCGCTGTGCTCAACTCTCTGGCCCCCATATTCCGTCTCTTGTTTGTTTGTTTGTTTTTAATATATTCTGGTTTTCTAATCTTTAGACGCTTCCCGAATCTCATCTCCAATGCACTGCATGCCCACAGGACGTCCAAAACGTCCTTCCTCCTAGGAGCCATTTCTCATTCATTTGTCCATCTACCAAGGGATCTGCCCATCCATCACCCCCTCGTCTGCAGCATAGAGCCTGAAGACAGCGAGCTGCATGAGTGCTACGTGGGAGAGGAGGGACCTTACGTGGAGCTGACGTCACGCACGTCCTGTAACCGAGAGAAGAGCCACTGGTGTTCCTGGTTGGTGAGGGTGGCCCGGAGCTGCCTTGAGAGCTGGAAATGGTCCACAGCTATGTTCAGGCTGCGCAGGTACGAGGCCTCTGACACGATCAGCTCAAATTTGACCTAGGAGGTTGGAGAGGAGGAAGCTTCATTAGAAAGAGTGTTGAGTCCCTGGTGTGTGTTTTCAGGGTACGGTGACAAGCAAGGCAGATCCTTGTGTCGCTCACCGTCACGCCAGAAGCCAACCTGATAGCAAGGGAGAGGGAGAGAGCGTGGAGGCCGAGGTGGGCGTGTGCAAGCCCCCAGAGGTGAGAGAACAGGATGCTTTCAAGAAACTTAAGCGACACACTGTTGGAAGCGTGCACTAAAGTGGTGGCAGGACATGACGTGCAGAGGCAGACGGAGCGGAGGTCTGGAGGTATGTACACAAGTTTGGACTCAAGACCACGGGAAAGTGAACGGAGGCTTTATATATATAGGGGGATGGCTTGGTTGTAAACCTATTCCTAGGCAAAGTGTGGAGAAGAGATTAGGAGGGGCAGGGGAGCCACAGTAGGAAGTGGATCACATGCAAGACAAAGGGCTGAACAGCCGTGTGGATGGGGAGAGGCGGCCAGTTTCATGATTACTCGGGGGGGACACAGGGGAGGACTTGGTTATCTGTTAGAAAAGCGGTCGAAAAGAGCAAGAAGAGTCGCCGCTAATGCCCAGGTTTTTGAGTTGGGCAACTGGGTGAATGATGGAGTCACTTCCCGAGCCAGAGAACTCTGAAAGAGGACCAAATTCAGGGGATGAAGGCGGTTTGGGGTTGGAGGAGAAGTGGAAGGAAGCAGGATTTTTGAGAATGAGACGGTGCTGCTGTGGTTTAATGGAAATCGTCCAGCACTTGAGGGTGCAATGACCCACGACCCTGCCCCCCACCAGCTGGGCTGGTCATGCCCTTGTCCAAGCACTCAGCTTCAAGGCAGATGCGTGGATAGACCAGAGGAAGAAGGCAGGTGCACACGGGGGTTGGCCTGGAGAACCAACGACACGGCCGTACGACCACAACGAACCCGGACACAGGAGGCTCACTCACGTCCCAGCCCCAGCGTTCCCACTCTGTGACTCTGGGTGGCTCACTGAACCTCCCCGAACCTGTTTCCTCATTTCGTGCAGGGAACGTGACCCCCGCCTCCCAAAGATGCAGTGTCAGCCCAAAGAAATGGGGCTGGGAAAGCATATCGGAGACGCCAGCAGCATTCTTTGATGGGAGACATGCGCGCTCCCCGGACGCAGGGGCTTGATTTCTCGGGACGTGAGACTAGGCTGGCCCGAAGCCCCGGCGGACTCGTGAGTGAGCTGGAGATGCTGAAGGAAAGTGGGGTTCATACCATCTCCCCACTGCTGGGCCCACAGGTCTGCGGCAGAGCAGGGGTTTTTCTAAACACGCTCCACGTGCTTTAAAAGTTGAGGTCCGAACAGGGTCCCCATGTCTGAGCTTCAAAAATCCTAAAACTTATACCTGTCTCTGTCTGACTTGGTAAAGGCATGGTTAACAAATAAGTCCCTCGGGCCTAATCTGTCTCCTTCCCAGCTGTGAAGGGGAGAGAATGGCACTAATACTTGTCAAACCCAGCTCCACACACGAAGTTGACAGCTAGATATGTGTTACTTCATTCAAGCCGCATGGCAACCCTGAACGGTAGGTATTCATTATCCTCAATGCTTGGGTGAGGAAACTCAAGGTTAATAGACCCGGCCTAAGTTTACACAGCTGGTAAACAGTGAGGCCGGGCTTCAAACCCAGGTTGGCCCGACTGGCAGTTAAAGTAGTAAACATGCTTTGGATGATGACTATGTATTAGAAACTTATCTTTTTTTTTTAAATTCTCCTAGTACCTCTTTGCAACGCAGTTTTACAAACGGGGAAACAGAAGCTTAGAAAGGGCATGTGACATGGCCAGAGTGAAAGAGCTAGCAGATAGAAAAGTGGGCTGCCAGGTCATTCCCATTCTGTCTAGAACCTAAACACTTCCACATTATTCCATGACGCCTTTCCACGGTGCCGTACTGTCCTCCCGGGAAGATGGGTTTATCCCATCGCTCTGACTGATCATCGGAGAAGCTCTCCATGCAGAACCTATGAGTGGCAATAACTTAAGCTCAGACGCGCAGCCTTGACCACAGTCTTGCTTTTGGGAGTCAAGACCAAGCAGAGACTGAAGGGCATTCAAAAGCCTGTACGGGTCCAGTGGACCACAGGACGGGAGCGAGGGGCACTCAGTTGTCAAGGGGCCTGACAAACAGCTGCTGGACGCGCCTCGGTTAAAGAGGAACCCTTTCGTGGGGGCCGAAGCCCTGGTTGAAGAGGGAAATTTTAGTCTCGCCTGAAACAGTAGTGGTGGGATTAATTCCGCACTGCCCCCACCAAGTTCAGAGGCATGGCCCCCTGGTGTGACTCGGAACCAGTAATAGGTAGAAGACAGCCCCGAGGCTCGAGGAAGTGGAGAGGAGTCCCTCCGAGATGGCACGCACGAGTGTGTGCCCGTGGTGGCGGTGCTCAGCAGGAGATGAGGATGTGATGCTTTCCCTCCTATTCCCCTTCCCCTGCCCCGCCCCCCAGGCCCTGCCAGGTACCTCTTGCAGCTTTTGGTTTTCGTGGGTCATGGAGAGCAGCACGGTGCTGTTGCGCACCATAGGGATCTCCTGCCACAGGGAGCTCCTGGAGGCCATGGACAGGCGCTGCAGGTACGACTCTGAGGCCACCAGGGTCTTCCGGGGCTGCCGCGGGGAGGCGAGCCCAGAGGCCTCTGCCAGGCCGTCCAGCCGCTGCTGGCTCTGAATCTCCTTGTTCAGAACCACATCGCTGTATTCCTGGTACAGCAGCTGGGCTGGGGGGTGAAGAAGGGTGGGAGAGGGAGAGGGTGAGGGAGTGGGGCATTCAGGCACAGAGACAGACGGAAGCCACCAGACCGCTTCTGGCTGTCCTGGCACCTTCCTCTTCCCCACGGTGACAGCCAGGAGCCCCCTCCAGTCCCGGGCAGGAACCCACGAGCATCCACGGATCTGTTTCAAGGTACTCACAGGAGTTGATGAGCTTTGAGCAGCGTCTTGAGAAGCCTCCCATCATCTCCTTTGGCTTCTTCTCCCTGTGGAGCAAGGAAGGGCTCTGGGGTGCCTGCTGGCCACGGGACGCAGAGAGGTCTCGGAGCCTGTGGATGAGGTCGTCTCTGACCTCGGGACATGCGCTGGGATGGCAGGGCCAAGGCCCCCGGGGAGGTGAGTTGTAGCCTGACCCACTTTGGGGTAGTCTGGAGCTTTTTCAGATGTCATGTTGCTCTTGTACGAGGGGGCTAGTTCATGGCCGAAGGGCTTAGGAGAATGGAAAATTAGGACTCAGGTAGATCAAGGGTCTCCCTACCCCGGAATCCTGGGGTCTTTCTCTTCCCCCTGGAAGAGACAGGGTCTCAGAACCCTTGTCAACTAATAGACATTGCAGAACCCTAAGAAAAGAGAGAAGAAGTGCACCTGTGGGAGAGAGAGTGACTCACCGAAAAACGATGGTGTCTGAAGAGCCGAAGGACCTTTCCATGGCTGGGCCTCTTGTATCTGAAAATGGGAACGGGTGGAGTGACTGAGGTCTCAGAGGGACACTCAGAGATAGCCGAAGAAGGTGAGGCCTGGCGTGGGAGATGGAGGCATGGGGCGATGGGGACAAAAGGGCTTCAGTGGAACCTGTGATGGAGTGGAGTGCCAGAGCAGAAAGCATTTGAGGACATTATGGCCAGGTACGGACACACCGTAAGCTGGACAACTAGAGGGTGTCTCCTCTACTGCGAGCAGGACACCACGCAGGTGTTGGAGCTGGGAAGTGGGGCGTGCCGGCGGCGGGGGGCAGTGTCCAGACACCCTTAGGGACAGACACACGACACAAGAACACTGTGGTGGCGCGGCAGACGGAGATGCAGGGGAGGAGGAACAAGGGTGTCGGTGAGCTCAGAGAGGCTTCCAGAGGCTTCCCTGTGTCGGGGTTGGACACACGGGTGAGAGAAGCCAGCGAGGGGAACGGGAGGAGCCCTGGGCCCAGAAGCTGGACGCGGTAAGAGCTTCGGAAAGCCTGGCCCGAGGAGGGCACCCTGCTTACCTGGAGTGCCCTCGGGTAAGATGGACGGCCTGCGCAGGCCCTGCCGATGCCAGACCTTGGGCTTATTCGAGGCCTCAGCAGAGGCCTCGGTCTGTCCGCCGCTGTCCTGCGGCGGTCTCCCCGGGTCCCCCCTGTGGGGCCAGCTGGACGCCTTCTCCAGGTGGGGGTGGCCGGGTTTTTCGGGCTGCCTCACTTGACCTAGATCCGACCTCTTCAGGCCGTTGGCTCCTTCCTGAGGGGCTCCTCTTCTCAGAGAGCCTCTGGTGGGGGCCTCTGCCACTCCTGAGAGCCCTGGCTCAGAGGCGGGCCCCTGGCCCCCCAGGGTCCAGGGGGTGGTTGGGGAAGAGGGACTCAGAAGGCCCGTCACGTTGCTGAAAGCCATGCCGGGCGACACTTCCCTCTTACTCCTGCTGGGGGGAGCTGATGAGTCTGTCGACCGGCCCATGGCTGGTGGCCAGGAGGTCCGTCCAGCACCGTGAGGGCCAGAGACTGTCCACTCTTGACTGACGGGCCTCGGCTTGGCTTGGCCCCCTGAATTCATGAGCGCTTCCTGGACGCTCTTGGTCCTGCCCCGGGACTTCGGGGGCAGCGGGGGTGGATCGGAGAGAGGCTCTGCGAGGAGGGCAGGGCGAGGGGGCCGGTAGACCCTCGGGCTGTTATCAGGAGGGAGAGAATGGCGGGCCTGGAAGGAGTCAGGGGTTGGGGGCAATGGCTTGTTGTATCTCGGCCTCCTGGAGAAAGAGGTCTGAGGCGGGGGGGCCTGGTCTGGGGTAGAGGGCAGCGGCCGGTACTGCCTTGCCACAGCGGGGTCAGGGACTTCGGGCAGTGGGCCTCTGCGGGGAACACGCGGCCCCGGACTTGGGGCGGACGGAGGAGAGCAGCTGCACTGCCTCAGTGTGGGGACCGCCCCGCCACGGTGGCCGTCTGTCTCCGCCGTGGGGGAGCGGGCGTGCCGCTTCTCCGGGAGAGCCGGGGGTGGGGGCTCGTGGAGCCGCAGGCCTGCAAAGGCCAGGGGGGGCGAAGAGCCATAGGCAGGGGACCCTGGGGCAAAGGCTGCCGCATGGGGGGAGCCCCACGGCTGGCGGCTGCGGGGACTGCTGGGCCTGTCTGGACTGGAGGTGAATTCTCGCGGGTCCTGCCCCAGAGCAGACAAGGAGCTGAGGGCTTCTGGAATAACGCTGCAGTGCCAACTGCTTTTCCTGTCCCTTCTTGAGATCACAGAGCCAAAGATGGCAGGCTTGGGGGGCCTCTGGGGCAGCTCTGAATGCGAGAAGGAGAGGGATATTCCCTCCAGGTCCGGAGTCAGCTGGGTCCTCTGGAAGCCCGGGAAGGAGTTGCTCCTCAGGTGGGGGAAGGCCCCTGGGAAGCTGGCCCGGGGGCTCTGGGGGCTGGCGCCGTCGGAGCTGCCACAGGGGTCCACCGTGGCCCCTGCGGACGGGGAGCCCAGGAGGGCGGCTGAGAGAATCTCGGGAGCCCCACTGGGTGATGGGCTGCCAATCGAGGAGGCTCTGGAAGCTCCTGGAGAACACGAAGCACGAGAGGCCTTCTTCCTGGGGATGGCGATTGGAGAGCTGGCAGATGAGGAGGCAGCGGTGCTGGCGGAGGCGGCCGCAGGCGTGACAGGCGCCGAATCTGGTGTCCTCGGAGGAGTCTCAGGCGTGCTGTCAGAGGCCACCTCGGCGCCCCTGCTGGATGCTGCCCTGGTCCCCAGCTTGGTTCCCTCTGGCTGGCTGTCCTGAGCTGCTGTTTCTTGGCCAGGTGACCCCGCAGTGGAAGAGGAGCTACGTGAAGAAATGGGCCGACAGGGACATCCCATGGGCACCAGGGCAGGAGTCAGAGCTACGGGACGCGGTCGCTCAGCCGGAGGCTCTGTCTGAGTCCCAGGAGCCCTGGGTGTGGCTTGGCAGGCGTCTGGAAGCGGGTCACCACGGGGGGAAGAGGACTCGGGGGCTGCCAGAGCCAGGGCGGGGGGCCCGTCCGGCTCCTCTCCCTCTTCCATGCTCCTCTCTGCCTCCTCTCCCCACAGTGCGGCGCCATCCCAGTCTTCCAACTCCTCCTCCTCCTCCTCCACCCCTTCCTTCGCTTCCTCCTCCTCCAGCATCAGCTCCCCTGGCAGACCCTGATGCCCTCGCCGTCCAGGTACACGCACTGATCTCCCCACTGAGCTTTGATCCTCCTGGTCCTGAGCATCCACCCTCCCCTCTTCTGGGCCCCTGAACTCCCTCTTCCTCTGTCCGCCCACCTCCAGGTCTTCCTGGCCCCGAGCGCCCCCCTGCCACTCATCACAATGCAGACCCCCCAATTCTGCCTTAAGCCCCTCCCTTTCTCCTTGTTTCAAAGGCATGGCGTCATCTTGCATCTGCTCCTGTTTTTGCTTCTGTCTTCCCTCCATACCATTCACCTGCTCCCCCACCTGTTCCTGCTCCCCAGGAAGCCCGACAGAGCACACAGCTTCCGGAAGAGGCTCCCCCTCTCGATACCCCACTTGCTCTTGTCCCTGCTCCCCTGGTCCCTCAGCCCCCTGCAGCTCTTTCCCCTGCCTGACGGTCCCACCCAGGGAGCCCAGCAGCAGGCTGGTCTCTGCAGGGTGCTCTTCACGGGAAAGCGGACCCACGGCCTGAGCAGGGCCACGTGGGGAAGTCTCCTCATCCGCCTCTGCGTGTCCAGTCCCCAGCGTCAAAGCAGGGAGCTCGGGTCTCGACTCCTCCTCCAAAGTGCTGCTCAGTTTGCTGGGTACCGGGACCTTGGGCAGATGCTCCCCCCGGCCAGGGCCGGCCCGGCACTCCAGGGGAGCTGCAGTCCTTGGCTGGCTGGCTGCCGGGCTCTGGGGCACTGCCTCCTGGCACTCTGGAGTGGCCCCGGCCTCAGCCGCAAGGTTTTCCTGGCTGGTTCCCACATCCGCAGGGCCTTCCTTGGGGTAGCAGGTCACGCTATGCGTCCCGCAGTCAGCCACATCTCTTACATCCGCCTGCTGGGTCTCCACGAGTCGGTGCCCCTCTGCCCACTTGCGGGACGGCTCCTGGCCCTCCTGAGCTGCGGGCCCCACGGCGGGGGTCTGGCCGGTTCTCATGAGAGCTCCAGGGGTGACGGTGAATTCCGCTGCAGCAGGGGTGGGAGCTGATGCTCCCCCGCGTCGGGGCTCCTCAGCCTCCATCGGGGCTGAACCCTAAAGAGGAACAACAGACAAGGTTTCATCACCTCTGCTGCCCTCACCAGTCAGAGGGGCAGACCGGGGGGGAACATGAGTGGGTCACATCCTGGGCTCCACAGAGAGTCATCCTTGGAGACAAAAGCTACTCAATACGCAAAATAAGCACAAACGTGTCATTTAGCCCTGGCCAGCATGGCTCAGTGAGCTGAGCACTGGCCAGCAAAGTGAAAGGTCTCTGGTTGGCTCCCCATCAGGGCACATGCCAGCCAGAGTTGCAGACCAGGCCCTGGTCGGGGCACATGCAACTGATCAATGATTTTCTCACACACTGATGTTCCTCTTCTTCTCTTTCTCTCTCCCTGCCCCTCTCTCTAAAAATAAATGAAATCCTAAAAACAACAACAAAAAAGCCCACTTGTCTTGTATTTGTCCATTTCATAAATATTTAGCAAGTGACCCTTTCACGTGCAGGGCATTCAGCAGCAACCACGACAATGTCCCGCAGCCTGTAGCCCGGGGGTGGGACACAGGTGAGAAGTGATTACATCAGGGATGTAAGAGTCCGGTTGTCAGAGTCCCAAGCGCTCCAGTGGCCGTCACTGTCTAGATGGGATTATGTCTCATTGTGTCTCCTTGTCTACTCTCTGGACACCGCAAGTGACTCAGTCCTCCTTAACTCCCGGGCACTGGGAGCGACACACCCCAGGTCTAATAGCCCAAGAAGCCGTGTTGGAGGGGGACCTTCCTCCTCCTCTGCCCACGGGATTAACACAGGTCTGGTCATTGGAGCCCACGTCGGAGACCAAGTGCTGCGTGCGCACCTTTACCCGGGGTCTGGGTCTCGCCCAGCCTGTCTCCCACGGTGTCTAGCACAGCCGTGTGCCCAGTGAGCAATTTTGTTTTCAATTGCAGAGGCAGCTGCTGGAACGTAGAATGGCCGACTAGACGAGACCCTCAGTGGACACAGAGGCTGCCTGTTTCAAGTAGGCCAGTAAAACCGGTACCCTCATCATCTCACTCTCCCCTTCTCTCTAACAACCTGGTGAACCTTTCTCGTGGCTTCTCAAAGTTTTGACCTTCCTGCTCCGGTTCTCACCTCCAGCAAATGCTTCTCAAGGAACTGAGAAACCGAAGGAGAGGAATTGCTTCAGTGTCTTGCTATTCAGAGTGACGGACACTGCGTTCTTTCCGTCTTTCCCCCTCCGACGGTACAGGGGTCCCTCCCCGTTTAGCCCCGTCCCCTTTAGCCGTCCTGCTAATGGGTGATCATCCCATGGGCGAGCTGTCTCTCACCTTCACCTGTTAGAACTGTCCCACCAGCATTTAAGCGCGCTCATGCCTTCCGCGTTTCTCTAACCTGTAAAAGGAGTTGTTCACCCCTGGGGCCTTCAGAGCCCCGCACCTTGCCACACGGCACTGGCTCTCAGGCCCCTCGGCTCGCTTGCCTGTCTGCTGGAGGCCTTCCCACGTGTGGCCACTCTGCCTGGAACCCTCTTTACTTTTCTCACACTCACTACACTTGCAGTTACACATGTAATGTCTAGTTTGGGGGCCAGACCGTGAGCTTTATGAGGGCACAAGCACTGTGATACTGACCACTCAGAATTGCATGAATGCATGAAGGAAGGGAGGAAGCAGAGTTAAGAGGGTGTTGCTCGATTTCCAGTTCTGCCTTTTCTGTATCTTGCTGATTCTAAAACACTTGTGAAAATCATTTCATTTACTTGAACATCCATTTTCTTATCTTAATAAAGAGGATAAAATGCTTCCTTTGCAAGGAGTTCTAATAAAGATTAAGTCAGATAGTGTGCAAAGCGCATCGTTACATTTAAGGGCCATAGAAACGTTAGGGACTGTAATTATTGTTGATGAGAGAGAAAGGGTAAGAGAGAAGTACGGGACTTACGAGCTGGAAGGATCTTGAGAGACAGACAAACTTGGCTGAAGCCACAGGTGAGGAAACTGAAGGCCCGAGAATCTAGACACTTGGATTTGCTAAGCAAATGGCACAGGCGAACTCAGACCAAGGTCTTCTTGACAAGTCAACACTCAGCAACCAGAAGTTCAGGTGTGAGAAAGCTGGAAGGTCACCAACCTCCAGAAGACCTCCGGCGCCTGTGGGACCCACTGCTGCACCTGGCCCTGCGCCTCCCCGCCTGGTCTAGGCTCGACGTGGAGGCCCGCCGCCCAAAATGCCTGCTGTCCTGCCGAGGTACTACACATGCGCACATGCTTGCACAAGCGCACATGCTTGCATGAGCACACATCCACACAAATGTACGTGAGTGCGTGTGTGTGTGTGAGCACACGATGAGCCAACCTTGCAGTTTCTACACAATAGAGACTGACATAACCATATAAGCAGGTCCCTGGACACCCTGCAGATGTGACAAGTAAGTGACAAGTTCCTGGCCACCCTGTAGGCACAGATACCATCTATATGGGGCAAAAAGCCACCGTGTCTAATGTAAGCATACTTATGTAGAAGGGCTGTTAGCCCTGGCTGGTGTGGCTCAGTGGATTAAGTGTCAGCCTGTGAACCAAAGGGTCACTAGATCAATTCCCAGTCAGGGCACACGCCTGGGTTGCAGGACAGGTCCCCAGTAGGAGGTGTGCGAGAGGCAACCACGCACTGATGTTTCCCTCCCTCTCTTTCTCCCTTCCCCTCTCTCTAATAATAAATAAATAAAATCTTTAGAAAAAAGAGGGGGGCTTTTATACCCTTTTCCAGTGAATTGACACAGTGCAAGATTTGTTCCCTATCTAGCTCTAAGGACAAAATACCATAATCGCTATAGAGGACACTGTGACGTGACCCTATTTTCTCAACCACACGTTAAATAACAGACTTGCTCAACGTAAACACTTCGTGATTCTTGGTTCATACCTGCCTAAGGAGACAGCGTAACTAAACCTGAAGTCCCCGCCCCACTGTCCTGGCCCTACACCAATATACGCTGCCATGTCCTCAAAACAAGCGGTCTCTGAACATCTGAGCATGTTTCTGCTACATGTGCACGCACCACGTGCTGGTGGACATCTCCAGTTCCATTCTAGTGACACAATGCACGCCTGCCTCCCGCTGACACTATTTCTGACGCTGTATCCGTTTGGAAATACTGGAGATCACCGGCTCAGCCATCATCCCTTATACTTGACCCTGCCCTATTACAATCCTATTGCATTCAGGCACTGCAAACCTAGAACACGACAAAGCTAAAGGAAATCTGTAAAGCCTGGTTGACTCACACAAAAACATCAGGAGAGAGTTCTTGCACTGCCCATTGTATTAGAGTGGCCTCCTCACCCCCTTCTCCCCTGGGGGGCGAGTATCAGTAACTGAGCACAGGCAAAGACCGAGCATGGCAGCTGCTGACCCTGTCCACGTGCGACTTCTTTCAAGACAAAGCTGCAAGTCACCCCATTCACACAGTGTATGACACAGCTCAGTATCCCCCTTGGTGTCCCTAACACCCTGGCTTTTGTCCATTTCTAGCCTGCAGACATAACATTGTATTTCAAAGACAGCCCCCTGCCCCCCACCTCCACCACACTGCTGCTTCTCCTTTGGGCCCACGCCGACCACCACTGTGCGTAACTCTGAAGACCAGGCTCCCTGGACTTTCTAGCAGTGGCAGTTTCCAATATCCTGAGCTATGCCACAAGCCACTGAAATACCCAAGATCACAGCACCTCTGCATTCACACTATATCGTCTAGCCTGCTGTTGACCTTAGGAAAGCATCCCCAAATCAGAAGATACGTCCTCATTCTTATGTAGAACGTGAGACTCCACACAGATGGATGTCTTTATTCAGTGCTGACATTATTGGCCCCAATGCTGCAAAGAGGTTGCAATAAGAGCTATACAAACACTGCAAAGATATAAAGAGTCACTGCAAAGCCCTGTGTCCTGTCCACTTTAGGGGAGCCCCACTGCCCCAGGGAAACTGTCATAACCCTCTCTCATTCAGTTCTCAGAGTCTGAAAATGCCGCGGCGTCCACTGCCCCGTAGGCCTGATGGGCGCCCACACAATGGTGCTCGTGGCATGTGGACACGTGCCTCACAAGCCCACTGTGGCCCCACTGCCACCCGCACAGATAACGTGAGTGACCTCCCCATGTCCTCAGCACAGCCCCTGAGGGTGACCTTGCTCTGGCCCACCTGCAGACACTAGAAGTGACCGGCTCCTGTCCACTCCACAGACGTGGTGAGTGACCGACCCCTGACTCCACCTGTTTGGCCCACACCACTGCCACTTGAGTAACACAGCTCTTGTTTGACCCATGACCCTGTGCGTGGCCCATTCTTGTCCACACCACAGTGACTAACCACTCCAGACACCGCAAATGACACCTTCTCATCTCTTCCACAGACGCTGTGTTGATGTGGCCACAGACAACCTCAGACAGACCGCACTGTGGGCAGCCATCCACCCCAGGGACCCCTAACGCCTGAAGACTCTGGACTGTGTTTAGACACACTGCGGTCTCCTCACAGGAGGGGTTCCTTTGCACACCTCCTGACCTCTCTCCCTTCCCGACCAGGATAATGACATACATGCCTCCTGCCAGACAGTCTCACTCAAAATTGACACCCACATCCTTCCTCTTCCCAGCCCCACCCTCCCAAGAGCCCCCTCAGTAGGCATGGCTTCAGTGTCAGGCCCACGGACTGGTCAGGAACGGCCCTCGTTTTGCTAGGACCTACCTAGGCCAGGAGCTTCTTCGCACGCCGGGAATGGAGAAAATAGGAAGTCTGGGGAAGAGGCCACATCCTGAGCCTTTTCTCGAGGAGGAGCCGGGGCTTCTGGAGTAGGCCCAGGACGCAGGGCCTTCCTTGGAAGGCCGCAGAGGGAGTGAAAGAGGGAAGAAGCTAGAAAAGAAAGCCACTCTCTCTCCCTAGTCTATTTGACACACCCCTCTCCCTTAATCTGACGGTGAGTCCTGGCCAGAGTTCACTTCTCGTCGTAGACGGGAGGGCGAATCAGTCTGGGGAATCCAGGATCCAGGAAGGGACCGAGGTCTGAAAGCCCTGGCTCTCAGAGGGGGCCGCCTTGCTGGGAGGCGATTTTAAGTGATGCTCACAACTAGGGCCCCCTCCCCACTCCTAACTCTAAACAGCTCCCTTCCCGCCTCCCCAAGTTCCCAATACAATATTGTGATGGACGACAGGAGCTTTGGAATTACTCCCCAGGTGTGGGGAATGAGGAGAGGGGGACAGGACTCACTTTACAGGTGAAACCCCCCCTGGGCCAGCAAGGCAGAGGTAAGGACTTAGAGAGACACCGTGTCTCTAAGACGTGAAGCCCTAGGAAGGAAGGTAAGTGAAGGAAGGCCCAGGCCTAGTTAGGAGAAAGGACACAATGAAACACTGCAGGTGGGGAACACGTCCACAGAAGGGGTCTCCCTCAGTGATTCCTCGTTACAGGGGTTAGCTTTCTGGGGACCCAGCCTCGGGAGAGCTTTATTAGCGGCCTGGGGAACATCTGGGGGCAGGGTGCCCATGTCCAAGGCGGGACTAGGCCGGAAGCGAGTATTTCAGGCGAGAGCATTTCCTCCAGCTTCCCTCCTCTTCCTGACCAGGATACTCAGCCCCACGCCCCGCACTCTGCCCATCTGCCCAGCCCCCCCATTTCCGGAGCCTGCGCCCGGGAGACCCGGCGGGGCCGGCCCCAGGGCGAAGGCCTAGCTTCCCGGTCCTTGGCGTCCTTCCCTCTCCTCCGCCCGGGCGCTACAGCCGCCCGCCCGGGGCCAGGAGCTGCCAGGGAGGAGGGCACCCACCTGGGCAATGTCACATGCTGTCCCGCACGAGGGTCCCTCCAGGTCCCAGGCGCCGGCCGGCCGTCCTTGGCGCAGGCCCCGGCTGCCTCGGCCGCCCCACCCGCGCCCGCGCCCGCCCCTCCCCGCCCGGCCGCGAGGGAGGGACCTGGTTCTCCTACAAGTTTCAGGTGAGGAAACCAGGGACACACCTTCCAGGGGGAGGGGCAGGGCCCGTCGGCGCCGCGGCCCCATTGGCGTGCAGGGAGCGCCCGCGTCACCGCTGGGAAGTGGCGGCCGAGGGCAGCCCGGGTGGGCGCACGGGGCAGGCGGCCGGGGCAGGGGACAGCGGCCGGCAGGAGTGACCAGCGGAGGAGGGACGAAGAGGGGAGCGGGGGTGGGGGCGCTCCTGTGCCCCTCAACATCTCTGAACTCTGCCTGGGTGCCTCTTCCCCCGTGTGCTTCTCCAGGTCTTCACCTGAGCCTGACTCGGGACGCGGTGGTCTGCCTCCCGCGGGCGGGCGGATCTGGGTCTCGGGCCGTCTGAGCGTCGGAGCTTCTGCGAGTTGGCGCGTCTTCAGGCCTCGGTGTCAACTCCTCTTCCTTAGTCTCCCTGGGACTCCCTGCGCGCGGAAGGCTCCATCCTGAGCTCTCGCTCTCCCCTCCCTCTGCGGCCAACTCTTAGGGCCTGGGAGCGAGCATCCCTAAGCCAGTGTGCCCGAGTCTTTTTCCTCCTTGTATTATCTGAGTTCACCATAGGATGATTACACACCTCAGGGTGTGTCTTCCTTCCGTCTTCTGCCCAGGACCTCTGAGAGAGAGAGAAAGAGAGAGAGAGAGAGAGAGAGAGAGAGAGAGAGAGAGAGAGAGAGAGAGAGAGAGAGAGAGAGAGAGAGAGAGAACTGAAGTGTCTAAGCCGAGGTCTCAGGTCCCTGTGTCTTCTTCTTCCATGGCCATATTTTTTCCCGGTTCTTTCAGGGAAAGCTTGTATTCTGTTGGTCTGAGTCCAAGCCTGAGTGGGTCTATCTACATTTATATGCCTCTCCATAGACTTCAAAGATGCCAGAATGTTCTGTGGTGCAGCCACACACGCACACACACACACACACACAGTGAGAACCCCTCACCCAGGGGACTGAGATCCTTGGTAGTTTAGTCAGAGCGCCCCCTGCCCCAGTCCCCGTACTCCAGACGTGCCATGCTGACATAAATCAAGAGGAATCTTCGTGGGCCCTCAGCTGTTCTGTTCTTAGGGATGCCCCGATCTCTAAGCCCAGACAGCTAGTAGGCCAGAGCACTTCCAGTCACTGTGCCCATGGGCTGATGCACTGAAGCCAGCTGGCCACGCCCACTAGGTGTTTGAAGGGGCTTTCGGATAGTTTGTAATTAAGGCAGAAAGGTGTCTCCTCCCATCCAAGAGCTAACCAGGCCCGACCCCAATGAGCTTCCGAGATATCAGACGAGATCGGGTGTGTTCAGGGTGGTACGGCCGTAGACAGCAAGGTGTCTTCTTGATAAAGTCCTGAAGCATCTCTATGTTCAAAGAATGTGCTACTTCAGTCTCACTACCCTGAGGGATTAAGCACTAAATTCAGCAGCCTTCCGCCTACCTATGCTGCCTTGTGGGTTTGGGAAGCAATGCGGAAAACCAGGACTAGGGAATTCGAGTACGTAAGGGCAGGCCTAGCACACGTTGTAAGCTCAGCAAGGGGATAGAAGTGGCTAGTGCAGTGAGTCAAACAGTTCATTGCAGCATTACTGACAGTAGCCAAGATATGGAGGCAACTTGGGTGTCTGCTGATAGACGACTGGATAAAGATCACACACACACACACAATGGAATATTATGCAACCACAAAAAGAATGAAATCTTGCCGTTTGAGATCATGTGGATGGACCTAGAGGGTACTATGCTAAGTGCGATAAATTAGACAGAGAAAGATAAATACTGTATGATCTCACTGACATGTGGCATCTAAAAAAGAAAGCAAATGGACAAATAAAACAAAACAAAACATTAAAACCCGGACTCATAAACAAACCAAAGCAATGGTTGTCAGAGATGAGGGGCCTGAGGAGATGAGTGAAGATGGTGAAAGGGGACAGAGGCGATAATAGTGTGATGTCTGCACAGTGACAGGAGATTATTAGAGTTGGTGGGATGATCGCACTGCAAGGTTAGCGAACTCCCCACCCTTGGGCAGAGGCCGCAGACCTCTGGGGTTCCGTGCTGCCTCCTGGGAGTGGCCCTGTCCTTGGAGGCGCTGGACAGCCTCCCACAGCCGCCTGGCTGTTCTTCCGGCTCCGCTCCGGCTCCACTCGGTCCTCCTGGGTTACGGCTCTCTGTCCTTAGAGCCGAGGTTACCATCCCTCTCAGGTCTCATAGCCTTGACCTCCTCTTGTTCTGCCAGCTCTGACCTATCAGCATTTTTGTTTTTGTTTTTGAAGTCACCACCCTTGATTCAGTGATTTCTGGGCTCTTATCCAGAGAGTGGAGCATGCATGGCTTGACCTGGCTTCTCAAGCAGGAATGAGATGTAGGAGTTAAAACTGATCTCTCAGGGAGTGAGCTCGTGCAGGCAGCAGCCCTGTCTGCAGGGCGTGTGCCTGCTGGGGACCCGTGGGGCACCCCGGGCTCCTCTTCCCTTCGCTTTGCAAACTATGATTCTATTTTCTTTCTTATTTCTTGGTACTTTCTCTTCGTGCCTGGCCTTCTTAATCAGGCCTGTCACCCTATCCTATATATATATATATATATATCTTAAAATATATATATATATATATATATATTTTTTAAGATTTTATTTATTTATTTTTAGAGAGGGAAGGGAGGGAGATAGATAGAGATAGAGATAGAGATAGAGATAGAGATAGAGATAGAGATAGAGAGAGAGAGAGAGAGAGAGAGAGAGAGAGAGAAACATCAATGTGCGGTTGCTGGGGGTTATGGCCTGCAACCCAGGCATGTACCCTGACTGGGAATCGAACCTGCGACACTTTGGTTCCCAGTCCACGCTCAATCCACTGAGCTATGCCAGCCAGGGCCTATCCTAATATTTTGATAAAGAAATACAGTGGCCTTCTTTCAAGCAGGAACTCATCAAAGCTATCCGCGGGGCTGTCACTGCCCTGACCAGATACCCTCCTGGTGACACCATCCCGTTGTTGGCGGTTGGCCTCCCACTTGGTTAACGCTGCCTCTCAGCGGATCCAGTGTTGGTTCTCTGAAAGCTGCTCCTGGCCTTTCTGACTCTCCTTTTTACCTGATCCCAAGACCTACCTTTGAGTTGATTCTGAATTCAGTTGTTTTCTTCACTTGGCTGACCATGGTCTCTCCATCTTCCTCCTTTAAGTCCGCCTGCCTTGGCTGCTGTGGTTCTTAGCTATCCAGTTCCATTCTGATGAACACGTTTTTTCTTTTTTCATCCTTTGCACATTGCCAAGAGCCTAAATTTAGTGCTAGTCAAGGTGTAAGTACTAAGTCCCTCATTCATTTACTTGATATGCATGTTAGGAAACCAGGTATACAAAGACCAAGCCTCTGCCCCACCCAAGGAACAGAGGAGAGACACAGAAGCAAATGATGACAGCTGAGTGTGGTAAGTGTCACGGTGAGAGCCACACAAACTGCAGTGGTGGTGTAAAGCGGGGACCGCTGTTTGGGGAATATGAGAAGGCTTAACGGATACGGGGAAGTCTACGCTGACTTCTCTCCAGAAAGCCCTGTGGCACCCGGTGGAGAGGAGGGCGGAGGAAAGCCACACCACCAGCAGGAGTGGATGCACAAAAACAGAAGCGGAAGCACATTCTGTTCGGGGAAGAGCAAAGAATGTAGGCCTGACACGAGGCGGGCGAGGACACGGCAGAGAAGAAAAAGGAAAAAGAGCCGCTGTGCACGGTGATGGCCGTGCTCAATTAGCTCCACGGTGATCACAACACGACATGCAGGTATATCAAAATGTCAGTTGTACGCCCTAAATACACACCCTATTTGCCAATTGTACCCTGGTAAAATGGAGAAAAGTCTTTTAGAGGAGCCACATCAGTGGAAGTAGGGAGTCCACACTCAGCGACATGCACGGCCTGTGAGCCGCTCAT